GAACTTGGTGTATAGCTTCATCACATCAATACCTTGACTAAGTTTGAAAATGAACATTTTCTGCTCAGGGTAAGCAGAGCGATAAGTAGTTTGATTGGTCGAGACTTTGGAACACAATAATTCTCCTAATTGGGGTAGGATGCTCAAACTTGGTGTAGATGTTTATTTGGTCGATGCCTTGATGGAGTTCGAAGATGAGAATTGTCTTTTTAGGGTAAGCAGAGATAAGCAATTTGATTGGTTGATGCTTTGGGACACGATAACTTTAGTAGTTCTAATTACATGTAAGTGAGAGTGATGGAAATTGGTGTATAGTTTCATCACATCGATACCTTGACTTAGTTCGATAATGAGCATTTTTGACTCTGGGTAAGCAGAGCGATAAGCAATTTGATTGGTTGATGCTTTGGGCCACGATAACTTTAGTTCTTATTAAGTGAGAGTGATGACACTTGGGGTATGGTTTAATCACATCAATACATTGACTAAGTTCCATAATAATCATTTTCTGCTTAGGGTAAGCAGAGCGATAAGCAATTTGATTGGTTGAGACTTTGAAACACAATAACTCACCTTCTAGTTGAGGTGGGGGGTTGGATGGCTGAATGGTTAGCAGGTGCGTGCTGTATCATAAAGTCTGTCATTGAGTCAACTGGCGTGGTTTCGAATCCCCGGTTGTACGTGACAAGGATTAGGGTTGCCTGTCCAACTTTGTGGGTTTTCTCCGGGTCCTCCGGTTTCCTCCTACTGCTAAAGACCCCTACGTGCAATAAAATTGAACCATATGTTGGTCCCAAAATTACCTAAGTTGTGTCGAGTGGATGTTAAACCCCATTTCTTTCTGTCTATCTATCTCTCTAGTTGAGGTAGAAGTTCAAACTTGGTGTAGGTGTTCATTAGGTGAATGCCTTGATGGAGTTCGATGATAAACATCGTCTGCTTACAGTAAGCAGAAATAGACAATCTGATTGGTTGATGCTTTGGGGTCAATAACTTTGGTTTTAATTAGGTGAGAGTGATGAAGCTCTGAGTATAGATTCATTATATCATTACCTTGACTAAGTTTGATGATGGGAATTTTCTGCTGAGGCTAAGGATCGTTAAGCAATTTGATTGGTCAAGACTTTGGAACATAACAACTCTGCTTTTAATTGAGGTAGAATGTTTAAACATCTATGTAGATGTTCATTAGGTGAGTTCAATGATTAACATTTCGAGCCAAAGCTAAACAGAGGTAACTTTGATTCTATCTGATAGAGAGTGATTAAACTTAGTGTATAGTTTGATTGCTTGATTGCTCGATACTTTTGAAAAAAATAAATGTGCGATTAATTAATAAGAGTCATCTATTTATTTTGGGATTTTGGCGGGGGACATCAGCCTCACTGTTGGCTTGTTCTAATTGAGATGTAGTTCGATCTGATTGGTTGAGACTTTGATCTGATCGGTCAACAAAGGGGGTTTAAAGTATAAACTGTAACAAGTTTGGGACACTTCAACAAAATGATTTAAATAATATTAGTGAAAACAATTATGGTGGGTGTAATTCCCACGAAGGCGCAGTTACAGAGCGTGACCAAAAGTAATCCTTCCCATGAAGGCGCAGATATATCGACTTGTCAGCTTCATTTGAAGAGAAACATGTTAAAGATTTTATGAATTTATGTTCACTCTGAATTTTATTCACCAATTGGCAACTAATGATTAAAGTCATCAAATTATCCAAGTACAGTGCACTCTGTCATATCCGACCTCTGATCACTCCGGCACTCTGATCACTCCGGCACTCTGTTACATCCGACACTATTTTCATGTCCCAATTTATTTCCTTATTACTTCAGCCAAAATATCTCTGGGTAATTCGACCTCTGTACGTTCCGGATTACGACATTAATCAGCCGTCCTGTCATACGATTTCCATTGAATCCACACCGTATAATCCGGCCTTCAATCGGTGGGTGTGAAGCAAACACTTACCGATCAATTATCCGTGAGATTAAAACTGGATGGATCATGGGTGTGAAGCCACAAAAGATTAACAAGCAATCACCAATCAATTATCTGTGAGATTTAAACTCACTACCGTGGGTCTTTGTTGATTACTTTAATAATTTTAATCTCTTGTATGACAGTTGTGACAAATACTCAAGAATATCCACAAATTTTCCCCCAAATTCACAGTCATAATAATATTCCTAGCACCTGTTGGAAACATTCGTTGCGCATGCCGATTGAACCTGAATAACCTATAAGTTTGGTCACCCTACGGATCTCTTCGAACCATGTGACGACAACCTGGGATGCTTGAGTCACAGTCCGGAATGTCCCGAATTGACAGAATTGCAATCGAGTGACGCGGAATTCAGTCCTGTCACAGTTCTGTCAGTCCCAAGGTCGGAGGTGGTGTGAGTAGAATTGTGACGTAATTAAACACGACGAACAGGTTTCGGCTGCATGGTTGGATGAGATATTTATATATCCAGTCGACGCATGCGTTGTAGCCCGAAGTACCAATTTTCAGTCGATTGTCACTATTTTGGGGATTGAGAGAATTCAATTCTGGAACGTTCAATCGAGTATGCCCATTCCCATTATCAATGAACACGTCATAGCAAAGACAAGAGTCAATCAACTGAAGACGGCGAAGAAGATAAATTAACGACAGACTTAACCTATTCAAAATGCCTACGCATGTTAAATGGAATAAAAATTAATGTAATAAAATTTTGAAAGTACAGAAAGGTCTAACATTTTTAAAGGGAATAACATTCTGGTGATTCGAAGTTCTATGTTCGAAGCTACATTATAATAATACTTATGGTTTTCGAAGTTACAATATTTCCGGGTTTTGAAAAAACTGGGTATTCCGACACTCTGCGTAATCCGACATATTGTAACGATCCGGTACGATGTCGCATGTGACAGAGTGCACTGTATTCAATATGAATCTTAATCACCAATTGGCAACTAATGATGAATAGCATCAAATCATCCAAGTAGTGTTCACCTATTCGCTCACTCAATCAGTGCCATTTTTAAAGATGTATAAAATCCTGTTACACTATCTGAAATTCAGATAATATTCTACAATAGCAAACGCACAACTTGAATTCAGCTTTGTATGTACAAGTCGCGGAGGACGATGTCTTTGCTCAGGTGGTTAATATGTACTAATTTTAACCAGTTTATTTGGAGACGGACACAGAATGTAGGTCTACAAGTGTAATATAGAGAAAATGAAGAAATACAAAACGTGGTACGGAGATTTGCAGGGTTCGAGGGTGAATTTGCAACTCATCAGTGAAACCACTACGACACAGAGGAGCACACAACCAGCAACACCCTGGAAGGATGGCATTCAAGGATCAAGAAGCTAGTTGGAAAAGAATGTTTTTGAAATGATCAAATTTTTACAAGAACAAAATATTAATGAGATTAGAATCGTTCAGTATGCTGGGGGACAGGAACCACCAAGGAAGAGATATAAATATGCTCAAATCCAAAGCCAGCTCCAGGAATTAAAAGGAAAACATGAGGAAGAGTAATTGACTTTAGTCGAGTCGAGTATTTAGACAAGGTGTTTTATTTGTCGAAATTACATTAATTTTTGTTATAGGATAGTTATGTTTTTATTTCTTATGCCAAAAATGATGCTAAAATGTTGGTTAATTAGTTACATTGGGGATTATGAAAGTGTAAATTCTTATCATAACAATCTATAACACCATTGTTAACATTTTTAATCCATTTTAATCCCTAGGAGCTGGATTCCCACAAAGTCGTCGAAAACGACCTCCTTTATTCCGTTACGGTCAATAACTGTGCCTTCGTGGGAATAAACCGAAATTACATTTAAAAAAAAATACATATAATATGGATTCTTATATTATACCATTTCCAGAAATTTAAAAATATACAAATTAAAAATATACAAATATAATAAGTACAAATATATAATATATAATAAATATATATATATTATATTATAATAAGTAATACATAGTAAGTGCATATATTAAAATGAGTAGATAAATAAATAAATAAGTAAGTAGATAAGTAAATAAATTAAATAAATAAGTAGCACTAAATTCTGACCACCTTTAGTATTAGCAATGTATCTAAAGTGTTCGCCATTTAAAGTTTTAGCAATGAACATTTGTTGTTGTTTATTACAAATTTAACGTCCAATACATAAAGCACGATATTATGGACAGGCTGATTTAATTAATTTATTTACATCTGAATGAGTAATTAAAGAAGTTAGGTAAAACACTGAATAATAAAAAGTTCTTGTATATCTAAAAGTCACTTTAAAACAGATTTAAAATAATAAAAAGTTCTTGTATATCTAAAAATCACTTTAAAACACGTTTTTTAAAAATGGTTTTAAAATCGTTGTCGTGGGAAGAGAGGGCGGGTCATCTTCTCACCAAACTGTTCTACACAACCAGTTATCTTTCCATGACTAGTGCTCTTTTCCGCAACTTAACAGTTGATTCCCGATTTTTTTCTATGAAATTTGAGATCGCTTCATAAATTTTATATGACATATTCCGAGTGGGGAAGAGGACATTTTGGAGGGTATATTGAAGATGAACATTTGTGATTCAGAGGAGGTATATATATATCAACTGATATATCAGTAGTTTATTTGTTTTTATTTCAAATTAATTATTACATCAAAACAGCTCACAATGTAAATTTATTAGTAAACTGATACCACCAATTTGCCCAATCTAATGATAGTGGGAAGTGTTCACCAGTAACAATAATTAGAGTGAGATGTTTACACCAGTGATACTAATTAATTAGAACAGACTATAGTCCTACACCCAGTCTAGTAACCTCCTAATCCTTTATCAAAACAATCAAATGTGGGGAAAGTGAGGTTAAACCATTGAAATTACCGGTACAAACAATTTTTTATTTAGATATAATGTACAAGTTTAAACAAAACATTATTAGTTGAATTTATTTTTATTTACAATATAAAAGGATAATTGAAATTACCTGTACATTTTTATTTAGATATAATGTACAATTTAAAACAAAATAAAATTAGTTGAATTTATTTTTATTTACAATATAAAAGGATAATTGAAATTACCTGTACATATAATTTTTTTTTAGATATAATGTACAATTTAAAACAAAATAAAATTAGTTGAATTTATTTTTATTTACAATATAAAAGGATAATTGGAATTACCTGTACATACAATTTTTATTTAGATATAATGTACAGTGTTAAACAAAACAAAATTAGTTGAATTTATTTTTATTTACCCATATATGAATGTGTTTATTAATATTATTGCTGTCCCCTTTTGTCAGTGCATTTTCTGCAATTCCTCTTGGAAGATCAAGAGGGAGACAGAGAATCGATTTTCAATTTTGACGCATTCTGATTAAAATATAGATCTATATATTTCGTTTTGTTTTTTTATACTTTTGATGGCCTACACTACATAAAGATCTGACAAGTTATAATGGGAGTTTGCATCAGGGGTCAAACGAGCGGCTTTTGACCCTATGACGTCAGATATTGATTAATCAATCAACTTTGAAGTTTCTAGGGGTTTACCCACAGTTCTGCGCAGAGAACGCCAAGAAATCGCTGTAACAGACTGTTTCATTGTCTAATTCCTCACATCAATAAAACGCCTATTATATAACAACTCTTCCAGATCCTAGAATAGTAAAGACAAGTAAAGCGAAATTTTGAACTATAAAAAACAAAACAAAATAGGGTCTGTGTTTTAATCAGATTGATTTTGACGAATTGATTTTCAATGAGTTCTGATCATTTGCAGAACAATGTTGATTATGAGATAAATATTACCCTAATCGAGGGTTGATATGTGAAATAACCCTAGGCGGGAGGCTGTGGGTTATTTCACATATCGACCAAGGGTATTAGGTTAATATTTGTCTTACACACCAACATCAATGTTAAATCTATCCTATAAGACAATGCTTTAGCCCATATCGGCCTACGACTGATATGACAAAATTAAGAAAACAAGTTGTAAGTTGCACGTGCATTACATTTGAGTAACCACGTATTCACAAACTGGCATTCATTTTGTGCTATGTTGTCAAACGAATCAGACGACGGACTGATCCACGCAAGTCAGTTTGTAGAAAATATGGCTGAAAAAGAAAACATAGATTCTGACAAAGGATTATTTAAACGTAATCGAAGTGCAGAATTATATGCAGAATATATTTAACAAGGATTTAATGCACTCGGATATTTCGGATTGTGAGATACAAATTTTAATGATAAATGCTTTTCAATTTCGAGTGACAAGAAGTCAGTGAATGTGCCAACAATGCCATGCCCATAAATACCTTACACAGAAATCAGTGGGCTGTGAGCTTTTTTAACAGTTGGTCAGTGTGGCGAAATAATAAACATGATAGTGAGCGAAAAATCCTGTGTGCGCCAGAAGATTTGAGGATATAATATCTTATTTTTTTTATATCTAGATTCTACTCGGAAGTAAGCTAAATGAAATGATGAATATTGCCCACCGAATTCCGTATTTAGTCATGGGAATAGTTTTACATTTACGGATATACTACACAATCCAGAATTTGAGTTTCAGACAAATTCTTGATGGTCAGATGAAGAAACTAAGTAACATGGGCCTGGCAACGTTCGTCTTCCGAATCGTTTGACAGCATTGTACAAAAAAGTGAATAAAATGTTGAAAAAGAATTTGGGTTCCTTTTCATTTAAGAGTGATGTAAACCTGTCATGACGTCACCAGAGGTTGATATCTGATATCATCCCTAGGGCCGATATCGGATATCACCCTCTAATCACCTATTATAGACAGAGGATTTGGCAAAGAATACATCCTAGTCGTTCAGAATGGCTAAAAACTTTATATTCTGGATTGTATCTTGTGTTTTCTAATCACCTATTATAAACAGAGGATTTGGCCAGGAATACATCCTAGTTGTTCAGAATGGCCAAAAACTTTATATTCTGGAAGGATTTTTAGGGAGATTACAAATGGTGCAAGAAGTATTTTTTGGAATCCCCTCTGGTTTACTTTGTCCTGTACTTTTGACAGTTTTTTCTAGGAAACCTAATTTTGATCTCATTTCATTGAGGTCAATATTTTCTGTGTACAATACCTCAACATTTGGGGATGAGTCTGTACAATACTGGTCACATATTCGATCATAATACAAGAATTTATTATTATTAATATCAAGTTTAAGAAGTCTAGGTTTACAGTAGACATCTTCAGCGCTACCAGGTTTGGTTAATACCAAAGTGATGTGATGGCGTCCTCCTTGTTTCTTGCAGTAAAAATCTGCAAAATAAATATTTGCTGGAATTGAATTGAATTTTAATAGGTATTGTGGTGGAACCAGTATACGATAATCACCAAAAGGACTTCTCACAGGTGGTTCATGAATACGTCTATCAACCGTTGCACTGAAGAACAATCCATTAATTTTTTTGTTTATACAAGAAGCTTGGTCTCCATTATTATCTTTTATATATTTAGTCATGATTCCTGTTTCTTTGGCTTCTTCTATGGTAGGATGGGTACTAGGTTTATTTCGAAATAGATAAGGAACGGGCATGGATGTCACTTCGTTGGCTAATAACGCCAGTCGATGTAAGTTGTTCACATCAACCATTGTATTATCTGGAAGTATAAATATTGAGTCATATATAAATTATGATTAGGCAGGAGCTAAATCTGCCTGTTGAAGGTCTTTCTGAACCAAGAATTTAGCAATTGAATTTTCGGCCTAACCTTGATCATCAATACTAAAGTCGGTACGATAAAAAATATAGTCTAGATTATCCATTTCATGATTTAATCAAGAATGAAAGTTGAGCAGCAAATAGTATCCTGCTGTCTGTTCCAGGTGATACTACGACTCGAAAATTGCTTGCCATTTCCTCAATTTTTAATTAAAATGGCTAAAACTTTGTGAAATACCTGGAATAGTCACCCCATTACTTTCTGTCTTGTGAGAACTTAGTTCAGACCAAGGTATACAGCTTTTCTCCGTTGAAATATCGTGGTTTGTTGACATCTTGGTACTAAAAACAGCCATGTTTGGCCTAGTTATCTGGAAGAACCTAAGTGGACAAGGGGTGCTGAGTTGACTTGAAGTCGTTTCGCCCTAATTGGATATGTAGTTGGTTGTTTCGGTCCAGTAGAATATAACTCTTTTGAAAGAAATATTTACTGGATCCCAGACCAGGGTTGTTTGTCCCACTAACTTGACAATTTAATTGCCCTCCGTCCGAGGGTTGTAACTTTATGATGTCGATATAAGCTACATGGAAATTGTAACCCGCTATTGAAATGTGATGAAATTTTCAAAGCGGCTACAGGACATACCCCAAAATCCATGGGTTATGCCGATTTGCATTGACACATTCCTTGATTATCGTGTATTTTCTATCTTGAAATTGTACATAACAATATTCCATTATTCAAGGGATTATATTTTCCTAAGATTCGTTTGCTGTTTATTTTCTTTTCTACTACAACACCAGAAACAAATCTTTTGTGCCTAAACCCTAATAAGTATTATTGTCGTGAAACAAACGGATATAATTCTCCTTCACTAGACATTTCTAACCAAATGCACCAAATTTGTAAAGTACCTGTCTACCCTAATGCGAAATGCAAGTGTTCCATTTAATGCACGCGTAGTCTTAATGTTTATGTTTTGAGAAAGTGACAATGTCTATAAATATGTGAAATGTTCAAGAGAATACTGGATTTTATGGGACGTCGAGTCATTTATTCTAAGGGATGAAAATTTTAGCCATTTTAATTAAAAAATGAAGAAATAGCAAGCAAATTCAGAGTCGGAGTATCACCTGGAACAGACAGTAATCCAATAAATATTGCAGGCTAGTGATGACATCGAGAGTTGATTATGGTCTGGATAATTTAATGTCTAATTAATAATTTAGATAACATTTCAGGCCTAAAGAAAGACCTGCAATAGGCAGATTTAGCTCTTGCATAATCTATGTTTAAGATTGTTGATTTGGTAGTTTATAGATCATCAAGGAGCCACGGTTGCTAAGTGGGTAAGACGCTGGCCTGGAGGTCGGGTGTTCGATCCTGCATTGGCGGAGAAAGTTCATCGAGATTTCCTGACGTGGTTCCCTTGTCAGTGGTGCAGGACGGAGGGGCTGACAAGGATAGCTGTCTAGTCGTTCGGATGGGACGAAAAACCAAGTTCTCATGTATACATTGGCATGCACATAAATGATCCCTTGGCATCTGGAATTCAATATAAGAGTAGGCCTGGGCAATATTTCCTATATAGCACACTGCATTGTGTAGGCCCGTCGTCATTAGCTCAGTCCGAGCAGAACTGTAGAATGTTAAACTCCATTTCATTTCATTTCTATGGGGTGGGGGGGTTGGATGGCTGTGCGTTTGATCATAAGATCTGTCATTGAGTCAAGTGGCATGGTTTCAATTCCCGGGTTGTACATGACAAGGAGTAGGGTCGCCTGTCCAACCTTGTGGGTTTTCTCCATGTCCTCCGGTTTTCTCCCACTGCTAAAAACCCCTATGCGCAAGCGAATTATTGAAATAAAATTGAACCATATGTTAGACCCGAAATGACCTGGTTTGTGTCAAGGGGACGTTAAATCCCATCTCTCTCTCTCTCTCTCTCTCTCTCTCTCTCTCTCTCATTTCTATGGATCAACAAAGAAGTCCCCACAGTTGTATATGTGTTCTGTTATCTTCCTCACCCAATAAATTATGACTTATGATGCAATTGAATACAATCATTTGATTGTAATGGTATAATTGTTTCATACTTACGAGTAATAAACTCTGATTCGTCAGAAGTTTTAGTCACATGATATCTATTACCAGATTGAGAGACTCTATAAATCTTGTATTTAACAGCCTCTCTAGATGGTAGATTGACACATGGTATTTCATTGTTATCGGTGGTTGTCAATTCAACATATTCATTGTAGCTTGATACATGATTAGTAGTACTTGTTGTTTGTATTATCTGAATGTAGTGATATTTAAATTCAATACTTGTTGGTAGTGGCACATCTTCACATGTAAATATAATACTGGATTCATTGGTCATTTCATCGACTCTTTGATCAACGTTGAATTTCAATTCATCAGACTACAAAAAGTAGAAAAAATGTAATATTTGTACTGTACTATGTTTCATAATGCATGATTGTACTGTACTGTGTTACATCATGCCTGATTATACTGTTAGTGTGTTACATCATGCATGATTGTACTGTACTGTGTTACATCATGCATGATTGTACTGTACTGTGTTACATCATGCATGATTATACTGTTACTGTGTTACTTCATGCATGATTGTACTGTTATTGTGTTACATCATGCATGATTGTAACTGTGTTGCATCATGCATGTTTAAATCTATTAAGTCTTTGCTAAGTTTGAGTGAATTTAAGGAGTTTAAAAAATACAAGTATCCCTCATAATTAATTATTTTTAATAAATGAGTTATTATACTTACCGCTACTGAGATTGGAGATTGGCCATGTCCGCTGTGACTTTCTAATCTCATATCATGTACTGAACTGTTGATTATAATTGTATTACTTAAAATAACTTTTGGTTCATTTATTTTAAGACCATATATAGTAATTTTGAGCTCTGTATTTGGAGGTTGCTGGTTTTGATCGATTTGCCACAAATTTGTACAATTTAGAAAGTAGAAATCTGTTTCGCTGTTGTCAGTATTTTGAACAGCACAAATTATTCTGCTAATTTGGTCACGGTCGTATGTTATTTTGATTATTGTTGAACCAATGGAAAAAATTTTCTGCAAAAATGAAAAACAAACTTATTTCAAATGGATTTAATTAATTACTTGAAAAGGAAAGAAGTTTGAAATAACTTCAGAAGTTTATTATTCAATTTACACAAAATGACAGAATATCATAAATATAAACTACCCGGCAAAAAAAAGTGGACACTCTGTGTAAATATTCCATAAAAAATACATGTGTCAAGGATAAACCCTCGAATAAGTCCATATGCAGTCTGATCATTTGACAAGACACAACATTAATAGTGTGTGTGGCTGCCGTACGCATCTCCTCATGGATGTCGTCATCTGTCTCATGACATCATTTGGAATCCTTTGCCATTCTTGCAATCAATCTTGCTCAAGCTGATGTCGGTTTGCGAGAGATATGACTGTTGCCTCAATTGCCGATCAAGATCCCAGGGGTGGTCTAATAGGTTCATGTCAGGAGAACTTACTGGCCAAGGTAATATGTGGATGTCAACATTGTTCAAATAAATCACGAACCAGTCTAGCAGTATGTGGTCGGGCATTATAATGCTGCAGAATGTAACTCTGTGTTGCTGTTGCATGAATGGCACTGCCACAGGTTGCAGAACTTCATCTCAGTATCTTTGGTCTGTCATGGATGAAAACAAGTCTTGTTCTCTACTGGTCATAAGTCCATGTCCATATCATTACGCGACCACTAGCATAAGGCTGAACATCTTCAGTGCAGTTAGGTGCCAGTCTCTCCCCTCTACGATGATAAACACAAACCTGGCCATCATTTCTGAACAGGTTGAGGCTACTTTCATCTGTGAAGAGCACACATTGCCTATCATCCTGCTGCCAGGATGTACAATTCTTGCCCATTGTAACCTGCACTGATAGTTTTGAGGTCTCAAGATCATTCCTAGAAATGGTCTGTAGGCTCTTGTACCAACGATGTGGAGCCATCAGGAGACAGTGTGTCTGTTGATGGGGTATCCCAATGCTGTGGCTGCCTTTGCTGTCACAGTTACAAACCTGTTCTGGAGGTGAATTGTCCCGATACAGCGGTCTTCAGCTGGAGTTGTGACCCGGATCTTGGTCAGTTTTGAGTTCGGCCTGTTTATTGAAATTGCTGGAAAAGATTGCTAATGGCCGTTGGACTGCTGTGGAATGTTATTGCAATTTGCCGTTGAGAAGTCCCATCTGTACCATACCAATAACCCTGCCTTGTTTACAAGGAGTAGGGTCGCCTGTCCAACCTCGTGGGTTTTCTCCGGGTCCTCCGGTTATCTCCCACTGCTAAAGACCCCTATGCGCAAGCGAATTATTGAAATAAAATTAAACCATATGTTAGTCCCGAAATGACCTAGTTTGTGTTGAGTGGACGTTAAACCCCATTTCTCTCTCTCTCTCTCCTGCCTTGTTTTTCCAATATTAATCTTGGCATCTCTGTAATGTTTTCATACCGAATAACCTTGAGAAAATACCCACAATCCTGGTTTTACGATTTTTTGTGACTGCGGAAATTCAGCATATCCTGCATTCGGTGACTGTGATGTGTATACAAGGGTATATTTTGTCAAATGTTTTCGGATATGAGAGAGAGTCTAATAAAAAGAGAGAGAAATGGGGTTTAAGATCCACTCGACATAAGCTAGGTCCTACGCGAAGGGGTCTTTAGCAGTGGGGGGAAACCAGAGGACGTGGAGAAAATCCACGAGGTTGGACAGGCGACCCTACTTCTTGCCACGTACACCAGGGAATCGAAACCATGCCAGTTGACTCAAGAACAGACTTTATGATACAACGTGCATGTGCTGACCATTCGACCAACCAATCCCCCTTTTCTGTGATATCTCAACTTATTGCAACATTATTATATAGATAAAACTGGATTTACATATGTCAACTTCCTTTTGCCCGGTACTTTATCTTTCAGTCATTTAAAAAACTGTGTGGAGGGCTCTTAAAATCCTTTTTTGAGGTCCCAAAACAACTATCTGAAGTTCTGTGATATGTTCTCATAGAAATAACAGCATCCAGTTTTTGACTAGCAATCGCGTTATATCTGAAAAATCATGGTTTAAGTGGTGGGGGGTGGGGGCTGTGACTTACAGAAAATTGGAGACAAGTGCTAAAAGAGCTATGTATCTCCTATAAACAGTTTTGGAGATCATTTTCCAAACCGAAATTTCTTTGCATTTTATTTAGCATAAGATTATTAATATAAAAAGTTTTGATTTATGGATAATATTGTGAAAACTGAGACTTCTCCTTTAAAAGAAGGAATAGTAGATTGAGTTACTTTTTATACGCCCACATTGAAATGTGGTCGTATATTGTCGTCGTTCCCGTCTGTCCAGCGGTCTGGCGCCCACAAGCAATTGTGGACGCTCAATGGGCTAAAGTTAAATTTATACACAGAGTTATGGCCCTTGATCACTTCAAAAAATCTTGTGGACGCTCTAGAGGCTAAAGTTAATATCCGATTGACTTTAAATAAATTTATATACAGTGTTTAAGGTCATGAGACGAAGAGGTCTATTCATTTTCAGCAATTTTCGATAATTACTGCCAGAGTTATGACCCTTGATCACTTCAAAAAATCTTGTGGATGCTCTAGAGCCTGAAGCTAATTTCCGATTGAGTTTTAGTTTATACACAGTGTTTAAGGTGATGAGACAAATAAGCCTATTGATTTTCAGTGATTTCTGATAATTACTGCCAGAGTTATTGCCCTTGATTACTTTGAAAAATCTTGTGACGCTCTAGGGGCTAAAGTTATCATCCAATTGACTTCAGATTGATACACAGAGTTTAAGATCTTGAGACAAACAAGTATATTGATTGTCAATGAATTTTTATGACTTGAACAGCTAAATCCATGATGTTAAAAGTTTCGTATACTAAACGTTAGCATGGGGCAGAACTTTATAAAAACCAAACAAATTCTAATGGTTTTCTGATAATTACTTAATGAGTTGTTACTCTTAATCAGATTTTAATGTATTATAAATGTTTCATTACCGAAAAAAGTAAAAATATGTGACAACTCTTGTTGAGGACGATTTAGCCTGTGTGGGTGTATGTTTCGTTGCCTAGCAACGTATCTTTAAAGAAAGGGAAGATTTCGACTTTCAAAATAGCATTATGATATTGAAATGAGTAAGACAAGAGGGAAGACTACCTAAATAATCCCTTGCAAATATGAAAATATTACCTGTATTTAATATTAAATGTTTTACTGAATTATATTGTAGTGACTTACTTGTTCCTCAACCATTTTGACTTGTTCTGTTGTTGATCTTTATTTCTAGCACTAACAAATTAATATTTTTATCCAGGACCTTCTTGAGATTCACATTCTATGCAATTATTACGTATTTAAAACTTGGCTTTCCCAATCAGTTGTCAGATTATGTATATCATGTTTAAACTTGGTTTACCCAATTGTTTTTTTGTATTATGCTCTTGACTTATAGATATGCAATTTTCTTTCAAAGAATTAAAAGTGAAAATAAAACTGCATAAATTGGCTTTCCCAATCAGTTGTCAGATTATGTATATCATGTTTAAACTTGGTTTACCCAATTGTTTTTTTGTATTATGCTCTTGACTTATAGATATGCAATTTTCTTTCAAAGAATTAAAAGTGAAAATAAAACTGCATAAATTGAACAAAGAGACTCTTTTGTTGCAAGCTACAACAAACAATGAAATCTATTTAGCATCTGTCTCAGCAACAACTTTAGCTGTAGCATTGACTTTTCTTTTCCAACTAAACATAATCACTTACCTGGTAAAGATGTAAGTGGAAATATGAAAATTCTTAGAACAGGTTTTTAAGCACAGTCATTTTAATTCAAGTAACATGATAGCTATAATTTTAATATTATGACTTATATACGTTGTATACTAAAATTATAATCTGAAGAAAAAATTGTTTACTGTGCACATTATCAATTTGAATGGGGTTATTACCAATTTGTAACTGTTTGTATTTCTCAACTTTTAGTTTCGGACATTGTAGACTCTACGATGCATGCGTATGGCCTAATTTTAAGCTCAAAAGTGAAAACAGTGAAAATTCTGAGCATAACGGGTTTTTTTTTTTGAAGATTTCGACTCGAAACTTTCAGAATACATTACAAATGAGTGGATTAAGCTAAAAATGTCAACAAAAATTTTCCCATTATCTCCCCTATGAAGAGGAAGTCAGATTTTCAACTTCTTTAATTTTGCCTTATTTAAAAATATTTGTCAATACGAATTGTCTATCAACTTTTTAGAGTAATCTCATAAAGTTATAATTCACCGAAAGTGCCACCATTTTGAAAATGTAAGTCAATCTTAAAAATCTTTCTCATCCTACAATTCTTATCCAATTTTCAATATCATCATATTTTTGGAAACAATTGACAATTTCCAATCGATCTGCGCGATTAGAGTTTTGATATTTGACCTAGATTTTTTTTAATGTGACATTATAAAATTGAATTTTTTAGAAAAACAAAAAATTTGAAATCAGGTAAAAGGTCAATGCCAAATGATAAATTGAGTCATTTGGTGTATATTCTAAAAATGTTATCAATATCAGTTTATAAACAAAGCATCTGAGCAGATTTTAAAAAAAATTAATGTGATAGATTATGGTACAGTACCTTTAATACTGATAATGTTTAATTTAGATGTATACCAAAGATACAAATAGCCAAGTGATAATGCTTCAAGTTTGATTTGCAATTAATAACGCTGTAAAATGACCAATTTTATTACATTGAAAGGTGTATAATGATCAAATAAAGTATCGTTGGCAATAAAAAATGATGGAAAGTGTTAGAACTAGTGAGTATTGTGAGATGATAACAGATGAAATATCTTCAAAGATTCAAAACAATATGGTGGGTGATTAACCTTGTGTTATTAGTAATACTATACTAGTCAAGCATTAGTAAGAAGTTTTATTTCAAGTGCTTGGTTTTG